GGGGCTGGGGCGGGAACCATTCACTGATATCTTCCCCTATAATGCAGACCATTTTATCTACGAGGCTGTCTTTCAACGATTTTGGTCATCTGTGCTGAGAGCCTTAGGCATGCTCAGGGAAGGGGACGAAGAACCGGCCCCTTTTCGCCCACAGTGGCGCTCGCCATTCCTGGACGATGGAGATTTTCACCAGAGGAACCAAATCTAGTGTGGCTGCACCATTCCTTTGTGCAAAAAGGGGTTTTCGCATCCAGTGAAGAGTGGATCTCTCACCCGGAGCTCCCTTCCGGAGGATGGTTTCATGACTTGACTGCGCCATTAACTTGCCATACCAGGGAGTGCGACACGTCTACCATGTCGGATAACTCGTCGTAATCATTGAAATATTGGATTTCTGCGAGTGATGGGCAACATGAAGACGGGCTTTGGTGCATTTGCTTCTCAACCAGAGGGTCTCACAACTAAGTGAGGACTCAACTATAGGACTATAGACTTAACTGTAGGACTCTGTTGAGCAGGACGAGTTTTCTACCTGGAAAATGCAAAGCACGATGAGTTATGGTTCGTCAGTGTGAAGGGGTATTATGTCATCACTTACTATTTTCGCATCCCGTGTTTTTATCATGGGATGCGCCGTAGTGGCATCTACTGACACATAACATTAACCTGTTGGACCGCTGTCTTATGTTGCCCAGAAGGAACCAACAACCGGTATCAATCAAGGGCATTAAAAGTCATTACAGCATGTTTGAGGATGCTGCCCTTTTTTCGTCACTGGTAAGTCAACTGTATCAAAGAATGCGTATTCGTACACCAACGCCTAGTAGTTGTTATCGCGGAATATGCCTTGATAAACTCGGGAACCTCCGAGCTTCGTTCCTACACCACTTCTTCGTTTTCATGTCAAAGGTTGAAGGCTTTTAGAGCTGGAAAATTCTGAGAATCGAGGGGATTTTTTCCTGCCTGAGCCAGGGGCCAGTCTCCGGGTTGGGTTTTTAATCCTTTTTTGCATAACATGTTTCTTGTTGTTGAAGTGTGGGTATTATGTCGGTGGGTATCTCATTGCTTGAGCTTTTTAATGAGAGAAGTAATCGTCTTAGTTTTGAACAGCATAACTGCGCCAAAATGGCCCATCATACTGGAATAGAGCCCTGTTCTTTCCTCTCATTGTTCGACGTTGAACTGTCAGTGATTTGAGAAATTGGCCTAGTTCGGCTTGGTGGTGGGGGAAGGGAATTGCGCTGGTTCCCTTTGATCACTGTCGAAGATTTCTGTGGAAACTTGTATACTCTTGAGAGTCCTGCGTTTACTGCGCGTAAGCTTAGGTAGCGCTTCAGCGTAGGCCGAGCTGGCATCGGGTGACAGAGGGTTGATATCGATCTAAGCGTGTTCCAGTTAATGCTACGTAATCGTCTAAGTACGCCAGCGTTTCCAACGTTTCACCAGTTTTGCTCCTTTTCAGCGAGGGAGTAGAGACTATGTGGCCGTCAGAGACGCGCAATCGATGTGTATTGTAGAGACTGAGGGCGAGTGAGAGACGCGCAATCGATGTGTTTTGTACCCTCCAGCTCTCCCATAGTCTCTACTCCCCTGCCGCTGCAAACGCTAGCAAAACGCTGGAGAAACGCTGGTGACGCTGGGAACGCTAGATCGATATGCATCCTCTCCCCGGCACTGCCGCTGGCGTACGCTGGAAGCGCTACGCTACGCTGCCGCAAAGTATAAACGCAGCCTAAATCTATACAATAGCGCGAGTTTCGCTCACTCTTGACAGGAATTTACTGGTCTCACCGAGGCGAACTTGTAAGCTAACAGGTCCTAGCAAAAGAAAATCGATGAAAATGCTTCACCATTCAAGCAGAACAGCGCGGGAAAATACTTGCATTTTTTCGTTACTGTTTATGTTTAGAAATGGAATGCATTGGCTACGTGGGCATGGGACGTCGATTGTGACACATGTGCCATTTGCCGCGTCCAGTTGATGGAGGAATGCCTTCGATGTCAAGCAGACGCTTCGTCTACAGATTGTGTAGTGGTGTGGGGTGACTGTAATCATGCTTTTCATAATTGTTGTATGAGCCAGTGGGTACGACAAAATAACAGATGTCCATTATGTCAGCAAGATTGGGTAGTGCAACGAGTCGGTCGATAAAATTGCTGTTTTTCTGGGTGCTATTGTGGTTGGCGGGACCACTTTTCGAAGTATATCCTCCGCTTCACTGCGCTCTTCCAGATAGGGGTGCGCGCGGACTCTAGTCGCCTGCGCTCTAGCAAGGCTGAGCCAGAGAGTAGGGACCGCCTCGGACTTCATCAACTACAATAGCGCCTTTTCTATATTGTAATTTCACATGCATATGTTCGAATTGTTTTGACTGTGTAAATAATTGCCCCAATACAGATTACTAGAGTAATACCGAGTTTTTACCACTGTTCCTATGGTGTTACCGATTGTTTTTACATTTGAAGATTTTTTGGAGGATCTGTGGTCATCGAATTTGGATTCATTCAAGTGCTAGCAGACATTCCACGCTCATTATATGGGCGGAGATAGAGGGTCACCTCATTGCTTTGACTAGGTGGGAAGAGCGGACCGATGAGGAAAGCTCAGTGGTCCTCTTTCTCCGCCCATCTGGTTGGCGAGAGTGTGCCTTTGAGCGGTTAGCCTTTATTGCGTGCGGTCGTAATGTTTGCCGCGAACATGACTTGTTCTACTTTGAAGATTGTAGTTTTTTTTTGATTCTGTAAG